ATGCTCGGGCTCCCTTGTTGTTAAATTGAAGGCGGCGGAGTGCGGCGGCGAGGAGAGAGAAAGTGGCGGTGGCGGTGGAGGAGAGAGAAAGGTTGCTCCGTCCTTGATTTGGAGAAGAACCCACTCCATATTTTGGTGAATGCGTTGCCGGAAACTACGAAAGATTGGATCTTTATGGTTGTACCGCGTGGTACAAGTGCCCCATTTTTCTGAAGAAGAAGATGCGGATTTTTTTTTGAAAGTGTGAAATCAGGTGAGATGAGATATAGGTGAAGGAGTTTCTTAGTTTTATCTTTTAACTTGAAAGAGAAACCTGCAAGGTCAAATTTACAGAGAGAGAGAGAGAGAGAGAGAGAGAGAGAGAGAGAGAGAGGGGAGAGAGAGATTGCTGAGAGAGAAATAAATGTGATGCAGAGAGGGTGAAGATTTGAATTTTTATTTTGGCTTTGCATTAAATTTTACCAGCAGAACCCCATTATTATTGGATCTAATTAGCACTAAAATCTAATGTCAGGCTTTTTTAAAATATTATTTAAAAATACTAGGGCAGCTGGTAAAATTTTTACATTTTTTTATGGTTAAAGTATGACAAAAAAAAAATCCTCTCGTTTATGTAATTATAATCTCTCGATTATGAATTTTCTTACACGATCATTTTATGATGTCAAATTCAATAGAATTTTGTAGTCTTCGTGAAGTGTTCTCTAATTTGTATTCGTTTTATGTAGAAATGCAGTTTGTGATGCGCCACAATCTGATATTTACAAGCCAAGAAATACATCTTATGATCATCTTGTTTCGAAATGTGGTGCTCGAATGGGGTAAAACGGATACAAATTGGAGAATATTTCACATCATCTAGAAGATTCCACTAAATTTAAGTCACACCGCAAGGGTATACGTGTGAGAAGATTCATAGTTGAGAGGTGGTTGTAATTATCCAAACATGAGGATTGTTTTAGTAGTTTGACATTCACTCAGGGGAGGCCGTAATTCACCATTTGTGTTTATAAAAAATCCGCATTATAAATGTGCACTGAATAAATTTATTCATTCTGGTGTAATAACTCGTAATACAAATGACAAGCTATGTATTTCAAGCTCGATCTAATAAAGTATTCATGAAATGAGATTGTTACACTCTTCTTTCTTGGTTCTACAATTAATTCATCAAAAAAATAATAATAAAATAAATAAATGTTTATGACTTTGATCAAATGGTAGGAGGGTTTTGGGGGTTGACTTGGAAGAACCACCACATTTCATTAACCCCAATGCACATTTAATTCTCTTGAATTAAATAATGTAATCTTGAGCAGTAAAATAATAGTTAATTAATAATTATATTAATTTAATCACCACTTTGTCATGGTACTAATGAACTCTTTTCACATCTGATCACAAATTCTTGATTCGGTGCTTCCATTCCATGTAAAGCCCCATTTGTGGGAAAGGCAACAAAATTATTTATTCTCAAAGTCAAAGATAGGTAGTGGTGAAAACTTTTTTTAAGCTATTTAATCCAAATAAAAAATAAAAAAATTGATGCTGGAAAAAAATAAAATTGGAAGTTTATGGGGTCAATGTGGTAGTTACGGAAATAGAAGGGACCACATATATAATTTTGAAAGTGACAATAATTATTTGCACTTTTGTTATGGTAATTGGTAGTGATTATTTTGCATCTTGCTTTTGTACTTAACTTTTTGTGCCGTCTAAAGAGCAGTCAGCTTTTTGAAACAAAATCCCCACATAGAAGATGTATCCTCTCTTCCATCTCTCCTTCAATAAAATATTGGGAAAATAATAAAAAAGGAAATTTATAAATTTATGAAATTATAACTAACTTTCATGATAAGTATTTGACTTATGAAATTCTATACCTGATGAAATATAGTATGTTGTTATAAATTGTAGGTCTACATAAATAATTATTCACTAAATACACATACACATAAGTGTGTGGTATTACATATAAATCAATAGTGGGGGAAATCATTATTAAGTTAGAATATAATATTTTTGAATTACGATAGACTCTCTCTTGATCAGTGCGGAAGCAAGTGAAGGTTAGAGGGGGGCGTGGCCGCCTCTCGAATTTTATTTATTGCATTTGTATTCTGTTAGCTCCTATATTTTTAACAGTTTAATTTTATATAAAAAAAAAATAAGATCAAGTATTTTTAATTGAAAAAAAAAATAAAGAAAAATAATAAATAAGTCTAACAAGTAGGATAAGGATGTTGCGAAGACTTGGAATCAGGGACAAGTCCACCCTTGAGAAATGATTAACTCAGGCTCATCCTCAGTGGAAAAATAGATTCACTATAATATTGCACCTATATATTAATTAAGTCCATCCAATTTTTATTATTTAGTCCACTCAAAATTCAAAAAAAAAATCAGTAAATTTTTCTTTTCCTGTCTTCTAATTTGACATAGAAAACGAAGAAAATGTCAATAATTTTTTTTTTTGGAGTAATGAAATTCTAACTTCACCACTACCGTCGATGCTCATTTGACGCTCATAGAGTATTTGGAAGATTCTAATCATAGATAAAAAGAAGGAGCAAAACTTTTATATCATAAAGTATAAATAAATGATGCAATGTTTGAATCTTGTGTATTGGTAATCATTAATCTTCAAATTATATTCATCTATTTCAACAACAAATTAAAAATGATGAGTACCAAAGTTAGATGCATAACCTTGATTAAATGATCATTGTATAAAATTCTTCAAACTTAACCTTTTCAATCAATTATAAGGTGACCGGCATGGTTGCTGTTAGTGAGTTGAGGTTGACCTAATTTCATTAATCACTTTTATAACATTTACTATACGTTTTCTCCGATGCTTTTGTGGCTTCTCGTTGATAGTCGAATAACGATTTCAAGGCCTATATATAAAAGCATATCATTCTTTCATTTACAAGTTCGTTAGATCTAATTTGGATCTGTCATGTGTAGTGGCGAGTCCAGAAATTTGGTACAAGGGAGTCTTAAATTTTCGAGGGTACGCCCGAAATTTTTTTAGAACTTTTTTGTGAGAAAATCAGTAAATAGGAAAATAAAAGGAAGAAAAAAATAGAGTATTTTTGCATTAATTTGAATTTTTTGTGGACTAATTAACAATAGTAAAGGCTTCTTTTATATTAATTTGAATTTTGCGTGGACTAATTAATAAAAAATAGATGGAAGTGATATATATACAAGTATAATATAGGGAAAATTTAGAAATTTTGGGTGGGCTTCAGTCCACCCTGCTAAAGGGGTGGACTCGCCCCTGGTCATGTGTATAGAGAACTCCGAGTTTGGCTTCAGTCGAACTTGGACGTTCTCTATCAACACGTGATATCTAACTTGCTAGTCGGAAAATAATTGTCGAAAAAAATCTCGATTTATCCAAATTGAATGATCCAGCCTCACAAACATATGATAACTTGGTATATATATTTTCTTAATTTCAATTTTTTATGATGTTTATTTATCATGATAATTAATTAATATGGGGCCTCACAAAGTGTAAATTAAATAATGGAGTTCACCTTCCAAGCCTGTGAATTGTTGAATTAATAATTAATATTGATTATCCCAATTTCGTCCAGGCAACATTATTCAGTGCTAAGGTAAGGTTCATTAATGCAATATTGTTCAGCATATGACTATTTATTACACGCCCCTTTAATCTTTAATTTATTTTATCTTTCTTGTACCTCCAATGTTGTCTAGTTGTTATTGTTTTATCATAGTATACTTAATTATTATTTTTTAATTCGCAACATATGATAATTAATTATTTGATGTAAATTTATTATGGGAAATTTACATTTTTGTCCCTCAAGTTTACCTCAATTACACATCTAGTCTCTCATATTCACAATAAAAAGTTTTAGTCCTTGTCTGGACATACGAGTCACAACCGTGCGGGAAGAGGAGAGATCAACGACGAAGCTACTAGCTACTAGTCGGAAAGAAAAGGATAAGACCACCTTTCGTACATTTATACTGGTCCAAAATTCGAATAGCGAACGAAAGATCAGGGGACGATTGGATCTAGAAAGCATTTCCTGCAGGGTTTACGGTTGTGTGGCCCTCATTCTACTGGAAGTAGGAAATCAACTCCGGCACAACCGATGACTTACTCTTAGTCTCCTTCTACGCTTCGGCTCAACCACCTACCTAACTTCTTAGAAAAAATCCGATAAGTAGCAGCTACCTAAGGCGCTTAGAAGAATTTAACATTTTTCGGTCATTTCCGTCAATTTTCCGTTAGTACTAGCGGAATCTAGCATGTGCCCATCATTCTATTAACTGATGGGCTAACGGTGAATCTGTGAAAATGACCAAAAGTGTCAAATTATGAAACATGAGGG